CACACACACACACACACAGAGGTTTCTTTGATTTGTTGGTTCATTCCCCAGATGCCCACAATATCCTAGACTGGGCCAAGCTGAAGCCAGGAACATGAAACTTCGTATGGGTCTCCCACATGGGTAGCAAGGGAGACCATGAGTCATCATCTGCTGCCTCCCGGGTGCACATTAGCAGGAAGCTAGATCATAAACAAAGTAGCAGGAACCAGCACTCTGATATGGGCTGTGCACTTCATAAGCAGTGTCACCTACTGTACCACAAGCCTGCCCAGAAAATACTCCTAATGTGTGTGAAATGGAATCTATTCTTGGCTTACTGTACTGTTCATCTTTCTGTATTTTTTAAAATTTATCTATTTGAAAGGCAGGGTTACACACAGAGATAGAGGGAGAGTCTCTAGAGAAAGAGATCTTCCATCCCTTGGTTCACTCCAAATGGCCACAACCGATAGGCCTGGGCCAGGCCAAAGCCAGGAGCCCAGAGCTTCCCCTAGGTCTCCCATGTGAGTACAGGGACTCCAGGGGTCATCCTCCTCTGCCCTCCAAGGCACATTAGCAGGGAGCTGGGTCAGAAGTGGAGCAGCCTGGACAGCAACTGGCACCTAAATGGAATGCTGGCATTGGCAGATGGTGGCCTTACCAGCTATGCCACAGTCAACCCCTCTTCCTGTATTTTTAATCTCATCCTGGTAGCATCCAGTTTCCCAAGCTGAAATCTCTAAAGTGACTTATATTAATTTTTCATCATTCTAAGTTCAGTTCACCAAATTATTTAAGTTTTACCACTAAATAATTTATTCTCTTTTCTTAATCTTCACTGACATACATCTACTTCAGATCCTCATCATCTTTCTAAACTATTACAAGTCCTTTAAATTCATTTTTTGCCATCATTTCTTCCCTCTTTCCAGGCTATTCCCTAGGTGCTTATGATTCAGCCCAAAGGACAGCGTGATCTAGCAATGTCCCCTGACTCTTAAACAACCTAAATACGAAGACAAAACTCTTCCCCATGGCCCAGTCTCATTTTTCATGATTTCCACCCCCGATTCTCTTTCTTCTCCCCAGTAACCTATACTACCTAAGAACTCACCACTCAAACATGTCAGACATTTCTGGATCTTGGCTGTTCACTCTGTTTATGGCATCTTTCGCTATCTCCCTTCTTTAGAAAAGTAAATTCTTAGCCTTTCTGTAGATCCAACTTAAATAGCACAATCTCTGTGATACTCTCCTTATCTCCACAGAGCAGAAATTCCCTCATCTCAGCTTATCTCTCTATTAAAATGCTGTTTCCATTGTATTATGATGTGTGTTTCTATCATTTCATATGCAGGCATAGAACAGATACTATATAAATGTTTGGTGAGTGAACAAACCAATTTTCAATGAAATCAGGCTTGGCTTCTTGTTTCTATGTTTAAGAAAAGGCGGAAGAATTATATTACAGAATGTCTCAGTATTCCTAAATGAAATTAATAATGAAAAATTTTATTTTGGGAAACAGGCACATAGTTGGTGAGATTGTAAATTGGTACAGCTTCTAAGGAGGGAGATTTGTCAATATCTACCAAAATTTAAAAATGGACATACTCTTTGGGCAATTCTACATCTAAAAATTTATCCTACAATTACATGTATGGGTAAAAAACTACACTAGTTGTAACAGCACAACATTTCTTTTTTAAAAAACTTTTATTTAATAAATATAAATTTCAAAAGTATAACTTTTGGGTTATAGTGGGCCCCCCCATAACCACCCTCCCACCTGCAAACCATCCCATCTCCTACTCCCTCTCCCATAACATTCTTCATTAAGATTCATTTTTAATTATCTTTATATACAGAAGATCAACAGTATATACTAAGTAAAGATTTCAACAGATTGCACCCACACAGACACACAAAGTATAAAGTACTGTTTGAATACTAGTTTTACTGTTAATTTGCATAGTACAACACATTAAGGACAGAGATCCTACAAGGGTAGTAAGTGCACAGAGACTCCTGTTGTTGATTTAACAATTGACACTCTTATTTAAGATGTCAGTAATCACCCGAGGCTCTTATCATGAGCTGCCAAGGCTATGGAAGCCTCTTGAATTCACAAACTCTGATCTCATTTAGACAGGGCCATAGTCAAAGTGGAAGTTCTCTCCTCCCTTCAGCGAAAGGTACCTCCTTCTTTGATGGCCTGTTTTTCTATTGGGATCTCACTCACAGAGATCTTTCATTTAGGTTGTTTTGTTTTTGTTTTTGTTTTTGCCACATTGTCTTGGCTTTCCATGCCTGAGACATTCTCATGGGCTTTTTTAGCTAGATCTGAATGCCTTAAGGGCTGATTCTGAGGCCAGAGTGAACAGTACAACATTTCAAATAAATGTTTCTCAAAAGGGATGGGTTACCTACAGTATGTACAGAAAATGGAATAGTATAAAACTATTAAAAACAAGCTGAATCTATATGTATTTGTCACAATTTACAAAGTAATTTGTGAAGTGAATAAAGGCACAAAGAATATGCCTGATATGCTAACATTAATGTTTTTTAAATGGGAAGATAGCCTGTATATGCTTGTGTGTGCATTACAATTTCTGGGAAAGAAACTGCTTACAGTGTTTGCCTTTGGAGAGAACTTGGAGCTGGCATCGGCACTGGGTGACTTACTTTTCATCCAATATCCTATTGTATCTTTACATTTTACATCATGTACACATAAATAGTTAAGTAAATAAATGAAACTGTCCTAACAAAAATGCCAATTGACTTCATGAAACTTTATAATCAAGATTTAGAATTTCTCTAACAATAGTTTTCAATCTTTTCTTGCTCTTAGGTTTTTTTTTTCTTGAGAGGAAAAGTAGAAACTTCATCATTCAAACACTTATTCAGTAATCATTAGGTGCTAGGGAGGCAAACATATGAAGACACATAAACTCAAAGAGTTAGTAATCTAGAAGTGAGAGTGAACATGTATTCAAATAATCTTAATATAAAGGGTTACTCTGCACTCAAAGCTTCTTTACCAGTAGCTAAGTATAAAGCCAACATGATGGAGACTGCCCTCTGGGTTGTAGCAGCAGACATGAAAGTCCAACAAGGGATGGTTAGGAAGATGGGACTTAATGTAAGTAGTAGAGAAAAGTAAGATCAGAGAGCAATGGATAGACTAGGCTCTGGCCAAGTGATGGTGACACAGAAAGAGCTGTAACTTAACAATTAATGGCACTAGAATTATCCAACATGATTTTGAATAACTGACAGTATTATGTAATAAAACAAGCAAAGAAAGGACATGAGCGATTAAGTGAATAGTTGATACAGATATTACTGATAAATCCAAAACATTCCCATGCTCTTTCATTTAAAACAATAGGCTATAGTTTTAGCAATTACATAAGATATGATATTTATGGCAGTTGAGGGTGAGGTCAATCAGTGGCTTTTGCAATCATGTTACAAACTGAAGTGATAAAGCATTTGTATACATGTTGTTAATTTTTTTCATGTTCTTTGTGGTCAAATATTACTCCTCCAATAGGTAAGTACCATACAAATACCACAACTGGTCAGCTCTATAGCATCTTTCTATCTGAAGATCTGAAAGCACCAGCAAGCATTCATTAATGCCCAATATTCTAATCAGATACACTACAGAATTAAATGGGGGATACAAGCAAGGTGAACAGTTCAAGGTCAATTGGTAAATCAACAGATTTGGGACAAGATGTACATTCTGCTTCTTTTGAATTATAAATGACATCCCCTCCATGAAATGTTTCTTCTCTTAAAATAGTTGTTTATCTTTGACGTTGAATAACAAATGATGAAACAGAGTTCAAGAAGTATAAAATGAGTCTAAAAAATGAAGAAACAGAACTGGGCTGATTCTGTTTCAGTAGAATCTGGTCTCACTTGTTGAAACAGATGGAGAAGAAGCACTACTGCATTCTGGAGTTGGTAGGGCCTATAATTGTCTATATTTTCCCACATACTGTTCTGCTTTCTACAAACTTATATCCAAATACCTTTTTTTTTTTTTAGTCTTTAAACAATCTTTCTTGCAAAGCGGCTATTTTAATTAACAGAGCAAATGTACTATTGAACATCAATGAAATAACCAAAGCCATCATTAGGCATGCAGCACACCATATTATAAATAACTTATTTGTATATGGCAACAGAACCCTCTACATTCTACCGGGAACTGATTATAGTAAACCCCTGTGGGGAGCAATCCGGACTAGACTAAGTTACTCGAATTAAGACTTATTCTATGCATCTGCTCTCCCACAATATGGCGCTGGGAGAGAAGTAAACAGCTTCCGCACAGCTGCCTCCAGTTCAACCAATTAACTGTAGGACTTGCTCCTGATTGGAGAGCAGCGTACTCGGCGTGTGGGCAGCCGAGTTGGGATTGGCAGAGAAGGACTATAAAGGAGGAGAGAAACGGCATGCACCGGGAACATCTATGGGGAACATCTGAGGGAACCCGTGCAGCCCCCAGAGAGCCGGCCGGCGGTGTGCCGCTCCCCTGCGGAAGTGGGGAATGTGGCCAGGGGGAACTGCCCTTCCACGGAGGTGGAAGGGATAGTAGCCAACCCGGGAAGAACCAGCAGCAAACCCGGGGAGGGCCGAGCAGACGAAAGAACAGCGCAGGGTCCTGTGTTGCTCCTCCACGAAGAGGGGGAGCGACAAACCCCTATAGTATCATAGCACATTTAATGGTTATCACAAAAAATCACCACGCAAAGAGGAAAATTTAAGAACCACACAAAACCCACCACACCCTTTAGAAATTTGACTTCCATATTTTACTCTTTCAAAAAGCTATTGATTTCTGATAATGCTTTTGATTCTTTTTAGAACAAGAATGAGTTCCAAGCGGAGTTTAGTGAGACTCGCAAACCTTTTTGAAAACTGTTGCATGGAACCTTGAGTTATCAGGTGCCGAAATTCAATCAGTGAAACCCAAGATTCCATTTGTAAACGCCTACCTGCGCATTGGCTTTCCTTCCATGCACCATGAAAAGCACCCTTCGGCACGCTCCACAGCCAACCTTAAGCAACAGAAAAACAGGAACTTAGTAAAAGCTCTTTCTGCTCTTTCCGGCAACAACTTCGCAGGACCCATCCACTCACTCGGTCAGGAACCAGGACTCGTCCGTCCTGCTGCCTCGCGGGCCTCTGGCACATGCACAACCCACCTGCCCTTACTGCGCCCGCTAAGACGATGCTACGTGTAGGCGGGGCGCGGGGCAGTCCCGGCGGCTAAGCCCGAGTCGTCTCTTCTCGAAAAGTGCTTGGAGTCGCTTAGCTCCGACCTCGCCCCAAACGCATCTACGCGGCGACCCCTGATACCCACAGCAGGGCACGGCTGGTTCAACACCGCACCTGAAGGCCGTGAACTTGTCCCGAAGTGCCGGCGCAGCACGAAGCGTCTGCCTTCAAAGACAAAAAACTGCGCCTCCAGCAGCCCGAGCAGGGCAGGCAGAGTGCGGCTCCAGACCAGCCCTCGTTCCAAGTCTGTCCTCCGATTCCTGACACAACGCTCGCTCCCCCCTTGGCAAGGCTGCGCCGGGGCTCCGGGGCTCCGGGGGACCCACGGCACCCCCTTCCTTCCCCGGGATGCCAAACGCCAAGGGGGAGACGTCCGGAATGCACACCTCAGCTCCCCGGTTCCAGCCTAGGGCGGTCAGCCGGCGAGAGCCCAGTCTGGCGCCCCGCAAGGCCCGGCCCCGGTGCCCCAACAGCCTCTTCTTGGGGCCGCCTGACAGGCGACGGACGAAGCCCGGCCCCGACCCCATAGGGCAGCCCAGCAACTTGGGACCACAGCTTTGCAAAGCGAGCCCTGGGGCGCCGTAGGCTGCACGCTGCAGCTCTAAGGAGGCTCACTTACCGGCTCTGACACTTTCTTCTCTGCCGCAGCCTCCTCCGCCTCCTCCACCCGCCACTCCTCTGCCTCCGCCTCCACCGCCGCTACCACCACCAGGATGCAGCTCCTTCAGCTATTTCCTCCCCCCTGCACCCGCCCCTCTCCAGGGGCAGGAAGTAGTCCGGCTCCTAAATCGCTCCCCCTGGAAACGACACATTCCGCCGAGAGGTTCCGGTGCACCCGCGGAAGTCACCGCGCCCTTCGCTGGAGCTCGCAGGAACTTCAGATCCGCCTGCCCATAACCCGAGGGTGAGCACCTGGAGAGTTCACCGCGGACCAGCAGTACTTGAGTACTGAAGTCTGCCCCTTTCTTCATCGTTTTCTATAGGAAAAGCAACAGAGATGCGAGTGGGGACAAGTTAACGGAAAGCTAGGAATTTTAATTTACTTGTAGCAGGTAGGTTGCTTTAGGGCAGGCTTGTTCCTACATCCGTAGCTGTCAGGCCCTACCGTGTGCCAAGTGCTGAGGATACACGGACGAGTCAGAAATAAGCCCAACCCTCTAGATTTTCCACAGCACAGCTTTCACTACACCAGGTTCTTTCCAGGACTCAGGCCGCGTCACCTTGTCCTAGCTGCTCAGTATGCACCACCCAGGCGCTTCGTGGAGGGCTTGTGCGGACTCGTTTCATCATGATTTTTTTTTTTTTTTTTTTTTGACAGGCAGAGTGGACAGTGAGAGAGAGAGACAGAGAGAAAGGTCTTCTTTTGCCGTTGGTTCACCCTCCAATGGCCGCCATGGCCGGTGCACCGCGCTGATCCGATGGCAGGAGCCAGGAGCCAGGTGCTTCTCCTGGTCTCCCACGGGGTGCAGGGTCCAAGCACTTGGGCCATCCTCCACTGCACTCCCTGGCCACAGCAGAGAGCTGGCCTGGAAGAGGGGCAACCGGGACAGAATCCGGCGCCCGGACCGGGACTAGAACCTGGTGTGCCGGCGCCGCTAGGTGGAGGATTAGCCTAGTGAGCCGTGGCGACGGCCTTGTTTCATCATGATTTTAAAATTTATTTGTTTATTAATCTGAGAGGTGGGCAGAGAGAGGGTGCTCACATCTGCTGCACACCCCAAAGGCCCCCAGTAGTAGAGGCTGGACCCTGTTGGTCCAGGGCTGAAGCCTGGGACCTGGGAACTCAGCATAGGCCACCCCCCATGTGTGGCAGGAACCCAGCTACTTGGGCCATCAGTGCTGCCCTCCAGAGTGTGCATTAGCAGGAAGCTGGAAGCAGAGCCAGAAACTGAATCCAGGCCCTCTGATGTGGGATGCAGGAATGATGGTAACCAGTGTCTTAACCACTGGGCTAACTGCTCACTTGCGGAGTCCCTTTAGTAAGGGAAACTTTTTTTTTTCCAATTTGTCTTTTCTACAAATGTTCCCATAGCACACAGCCACCTGATTTTTATTATATATTCAGAAAACAAGTGATTCAAGTGTAAGATGAGGGTTTCAATTTCAGGAATACCAATGAAAAACTGCTGCTGACTTCTTGGTAACTATGCTAGATTAAGCATTAACTGAATTTTTAAAGTTTTATTTTATTTATTTGACTGAGTTACAGAGAGAGGTGGACACAGGGGGTGGGGGGAGAGGGAGAGAGAGAGGTGTTTTCCTTCTGCTGGTTCACTCCCCAGATGGCTGCAATGGCTGGAGTTGAGCCGATCTGAAGCCAGGAGCCAGGAGCTTCTTCCAAGTCTACTGCATGGGTGCAGGGGCCCAAGGACTTGGGCCATCTTCCACTGCTTTCCCAGGCCACAGCAGAGAGCTGGATCCGAAGTGGAGCATCTGGGACTTGAACCGGCGCCCAAATGGGATGCTGGTGCTGCAGGCTGGGGCTTTAACCTGCTGCACCACAGTGCTAGTGCCAGCATTAACTGACTTTTCTTTTTCTTTTTAAGATTTATTTATTTGTTTGAAAGTCAGATTTACACAGAGAAAGGAGAAGCAGAGAGAGAGAGAGAGAGAAAGAGAGAGAAGTCTTCCATCCGATGGTTCACGTCCCAATTGGCCGCAATGGCGGAGCTGTGCCGATCCGTAGCCAGGAACCAGGAGCTTCTTCTGGGTCTCCCACACGGGTGCAGGGGCCCAAGGACTTGAGCCATACTCTACTGCTTTCCCAGGCAATAGCAGAGAGCTGGATCAGAAGAGGAGCAGCCGGGTCTTGAACTGGCACCCATATGGGATGCTGGCACTTCAGGCCAGGGCGTTAGCCCGCTGTGCCACAGCACCAGCCCCTAACTGAATTTTCTTTAGCTGTTTTTTACATAGTGCCTACCTAGGTTTGTCCATTTGTTCTGAACGGAAGAGATACCTTTTGTTAATTAGCTTGTAGTGGAGCACACATGGCCTTTAGATCTGGAAAACTATAGGTTCAAATCCTAGACCTGTGACTGACTAGTTTTGTGATATCCATTAGATTTCTACTTAATGTGTACATGTGATATATACTAATATATATGTATAAATTATTTTCAATGTTTCAAAACTTTACATAAATGGGCCGGTGGCACAGCTCACTAGACTAATCCTCCGCCTTGCGGTGCCGGCACTCTGGGTTCTAGTCCTGGTTGGGGCGCCGGATTCTGTCCCGGTTACCCCTCTTCCAGGCCAGCTCTCTGCTGTGGCCCAGGAGTGCAGGGGAGGATGGCCCAAGTGCTTGGGCCCTGCACCCCATGGGAGACCAGGAGAAGCACCTGGCTCCTGGCTTTGAATCGGCACAGCGCGCTGGCTGTAGCGGCCATTTGGGGGTTGAACCAACGGAAGGAAGACCTTTCTCTCTGTCTCTCACTGTCTAACTCTGCCTATCAAAAAAAAAAATAAAACTTTACATAAATGGTATAAAAGTCTATGCCTTCTTCTGAAACTTAGTTTTTCCACTCAACATTCTGTCAGTAAGATTTTCCCGAGGTGACCAGTGAAGGTCCAGGTCAGTCAGTATCACCCAGGAAATGCAAGTCCTCGGGCCCCACCACAGACCTTCTCAGTCAGAAACTCTGCATGTTGGGCCCAGTGACCTGTGTTCTAATAAATTCTCCTGGCGATTGTAATGCATGTTAAATTTGAGAACCATTGCATTGATTATGAGTGTCCACTGCTATTCTATTGTACAAGTATAGCACAGATTTTTAAGAATCCATTATTCTACATATTAGTGTTTTGACTGTTTCCAGTTTTTCCCATGAAAAACAATGTAAATTCTTGCATATGCCTCCAAAAGCACCCTTGTGAGAGTGTCTCTAGGATAGGTACCTAGGAGTAAAATTGCTGGGTTGCATTCTGTGTATAGCTCCAACTTTACTAGGATGAGTTAAATTGCCCTCTAAAGTAGTTGTTTTGTTTACTGATAATGACAATGCTAGAGAATACTTAGTATGGCATGGTATCTTAGCTCATCAGTATTCATACCAGTCCTCTTTCCTGTTTTACAGATGGTAAGGATTTTAAGTAACTTGCCCGAGTCACACAGCTAGTAAGAGACAGAGTGAGTACTTGATACCATGCATAATGATCCAAGAGTCTGTGATTTCTGCCACAGTGCTCTGTTGATTTGCCCACCAGCAGTGTCTGGGAGTTCTTCTTGGTCTATATTGTCATCACACTTGTTGTTTTCCAACCTTAAATTTCTTTTTGCCAATATGATGAGTATAAGATAGTAGCTGACTGTAGATCAGATCTATGTTTGTTTATTAGTGAGACATGTGAAGCTGGCGTTAAAGTTTCCCTTTTGTGAATTGTTTTTTGTAGAAAATATCTTCAAAGGGATCCTTAGCTTCTTCTATAACATGAATTGTAATGTTTAGTTATAAAAATTTATAAAGTATGATAATTAGGAAGATGTAAACAGGTTAAGGAATGCTGCTAACCAAAGACTGATTTTTTTAAAACTCCTGGCCAGGATAAGAGCAGTCCCACCTATTTTTGTGATCTGTGATTCATTCCTGACCTACTGCAGTCTGGTTTGTGCTTCTGCTACTCAATTTCTTTTTTAGCACGGTTAAGTGTGAATCAATCCTTTCTATTTATATTAAGGCATTAAAAACTCCTTTAGTAATATGCATATGGTAAACTAGGAATTTGCAATATTTACAGAATTTCTGTGACCCCAGTAAGATTATGCCATTAGGGAACCTGAATTTCTGGTTGAAAAATACCTAAAACAGATTTCACCAGGGTTGGGTGTGAGGCAGTGGCAGTAGTCAAATAATTCTTCAGGGGTTGGTGAACTTTACTTTGAATCAGAAATTGCATCTTGTCTGTTTAAAATATTGTACTTGGAACCTAAGGTTTAGTGGTAAATAAGACACACTGGGCTCCTTGTTTTGTGTAATTTTCATTCTTGAGGAGACAGAAACCAAATTAACATGCGAATTACAGTTCATTCTTTAATCACAACTGGGATGATTAAAGGTGACCTATAGGATGTTAAGAAAACATCTAGTTGGGGCCGGCGCTGTGGTGTAGCGGGTTAACGCAAGTGCCGGCATCCCATATGGACGCCGGTTCAAGTCTCGGCTGCTCCTCTTCCAAACCAGCTCTCTGCTATGGCCTGGGAAGGCAGTAGAAGATGGCCCAAGTCTTTGGACCCCTGCACCCACATGGGAGACCCAGAGGAAGCTCCTGACTCCTGGCTTTGGATTGGCGCAGCTCCAGCTGTTGGTGCCAACTGGGGAGTGAACCATTGGACTTCAGGCCAGGGCCTTAACCCACTGTGCCCCAGCGCCGGCCCTAGTGGCTGCTTCACTTTCAGTCCAGCTGCCTGCTAATGCACCTAGCAAAGCAGCAGATGACCCAAGTGCTTGCGCCCCTGCATCCACATGGGAGACCCAGAAGAAGCACCTGGCTCCTGGCTTCGGTCTGGTCCAACCCTAGATGTTGTGGCCATTTGGGGAGTGAAGATCTCTCTCTCCGTTTCTTCTCCCCTCTCTCCGTAACACTGCCTTTCAAATACATAAAATAAATCTACCAAAAACGTATAGGAATGAAATAGTCATTTAGGATATGACTGTCATTTTTAGCCCTTGTTTATACTCCTGTGTTCTTCCTACTTTTTAGTTAATATTATGATTAGTGGTGAATTAAGCCTGGGATTAGAGTTAATTTTCAGTTAATTGCACTTAAGACTTTCAATAAACAGTTACATTTGGGAATTCTTTCCTTCTTATGAAGATCAATTAAAAACAGACTCCTGTACAATCATGTACAATTATGCATCCTAAATCATCCTCCATCCAGAAAACAACAAAAAACTGAAAAACAGACTATGAAAAAAAGAACATATGTTCAAGTGAGACACCTAAAATAAGCCTTGCTCTCTGTCAGTTCAGTGGGAAATGAGTCTTCAGTTGGGCAAGCATGTGCCGTGACTGCAGGGGCAAGCGTGCAGCTGCCAACTTCTAGATTGTTGTTCCTGCCTATAATGTCAAACTCTGCAACCGTGACTGCCAAGTTCAGTTCACTGGACTAAGAACAGTTTCATAACTACGTTTTTTAAAAATGCAAATTTATTCTTAGATTCCAGAAGGTCAGATTGAGGATGGTGGTATTTGCTTGGGCCTTAAGCCAAGTATTCTTTTTAAAGCCAGGCTACTCCGCCTTCAGCTCCTGTAAAATACTGCTTCCTCCTCCTTTATGGCTTCCTTGCATAAATAGAAAGAAGTAAATATTTTCCTTCACACTTCAGCACAACACCTGGTCTTCACTCTGCGGTTGGCGTGGACATGTATGGTTACTAGGTGAACTTGGCCCTTGCCTGCTGATTTCTTTCAATACCCTCTTCCTCTCCGCTCCTCCCTCCCCCAGACTTCCCTTTATAAAGTTGTGTTTTGGTTTCTTAAAATTCTGAATCAAATGGGCTAAATGTTTTAAGTTCCTTCTGCTCCCACGGTACTTGGCACCTGTTGAGGTCTCAAGAAATGTTCCTTGTAGGTGACCGTAATGACCATACATCAGGACAAAGGCCCTCAAAACTGGAAAAAGACGTAGGCTGGTAGGCTGTTAAAATTTCAATCCTTCTTGATTTTTAGACTGCTTCCTTCTATTTCCTGAAAATCCTCCCGTGGAAAGGCCGAAGAGCAAGACAGTCCGGCAACCCACGTGCACGCTTTATTTTTTTCAAATTGCGTTTTCTAACTGGTAAAATAAGCACCACCGAAAATGTACAGAATAAAGCCCGCCCGCCACCGCCCGCGCACGGCACGGCCTTCACTTGCAGGAGCTCGAGTGCCCCTCGCGCGCCCCGCGTCCCCTCGCGCGCCCCGCACCTCCCCGTGCGCCCCGCGTCCCCCCGTGCGCCCCGCACCTCCCCGTGCGCCCCGCGTCCCCCCGTGCGCCCCGCACCTCCCCGTGCGCCTCGCGCGCCCCGCACCTCCCCGCGCGCCCCGCGTCCCCCTCGCGCGCCCCGCACCTCCCCGTGCGCCGGGGACGCGTCGCCGCGGTGACGGCGGAGCCTCGGCCGGCGAGGTGAGTGCGGGCGGGCGAGCGCGCCGGGGGCGGCGGGCCGGGGTGCCAGGGGGTCGCCGGCGTCCTCCCCGGGCTGCGGGCGCCCGCCGCGGCGGCCTCGGCCTCGGCCTCGGCTCAGCCCAGCTCTGCGCGCCGGGCCTGTGCCTTCCCGCAGGCGCCCGGCGGCGGCGCGGTGGGGCTGCCCGCCGTGTTCTTCCCGTGGGCTGCCCTTTTGGCCACATCCTTCAGAAATTACCTATTTTTGAAGGGAAAAAAAAAAAATCAGTTGGCTGACAAGGCTCTTCAGGATGTACGACGCCATCACGGCCGGCCGGCTTTGTCTCCCTCTGTGCAATGTATTTAAGCTTCATCGAACGACGAAGTTACACAGAGCGAGCGAGGGAGGGACGGAAAGAGCGCCCCCGACTTCTGGTCCTCTCCTCAAACAGCCTCAGTGGCCGGGCCGGGTCTGCCAGGCCAGTGGCAGGGCCCGGTGCGCGGAGGGCGTCCCCTGGGGCGCAGGTGCATCTGCAGGGAGCTGGAGGGGGCGTGGGCCGCCAGGACGCGCACCAGAGCTCTGATGCGGTGGGATGCCGCCAGCCCCTGTGCTGTTTGGTTTCGCTCTTCTCCTTACCTGGGCCGTGGCTCTCTCCTCCTTCTAGGACTCTATCTGCTCCTCAGTGGGACCTCCCTACCCCAGTCTGCTGTAACCGTCCAGGTACTTCATTCTCCAAGCGGCACCCTTCCTGTCTCCCTTAGATCCCTTCTCCCACCGTCCTTGCTGACTTCCTGTTCCCTTCTTTGCTAGACCCACGCCAGGACCTTTGTTCACATTCTGTAGTTACAAAGAAAAGTGTGCAGGCTTTCCCCCACACCCTTTAGTAAGGAGGGCAGATGCTGCCGTCGATTCAGAGAAGTTGCCTAATTCACCCGTAATAGAAGGAGGACTACAGCGTTACCTTTCTCGCTTTCGGGTTAGACTTTGTTCTCTCCTCCCTGTGCTCATATTTTCTGTAAGGTTTGGTTATGTGTAGTGAGTTTACCAGTTTGATTCATGTTATTATTTTTCTTGGGTGAAGAAAATTTCATTTATTTTAGTCTATGATCTAGGTTCTTTTATGCGCACTTATTGATAATTAGGAAATCTAAGTGTTGGTTGTCAAGTTGAGCTCAATCTATACTGAGTATCTTTGGCTGGTTCTGTGCCTGAGGTGATGCCCTGGGTATGTGGATGCATGTGGATAGCACATGAAATTGGTTCTGAGACAGTGTCTGCGTCCCTTTGCCATCTCTTGGCTCTGGGATGATGTCCCTGGTACACTGATACTCCTTGCCGGTAAGAGGTTCCTGGTTATAACGGGTGGTTCATGTGTCTTCTTGAGCAGCGCTCTCCTGGCTTGGTCAGAATTCTGTAGCTCTGCTTGTCCCAGTTCCACCTGGCTCCCTCAGCTGCACCAAGCTCCTGCTGTGGTTCCTTTCCCTCCAGACCTAGGGAGTGTGGTTTGTTCCAAGCTTTCTCTCCTTACAGAGCCTCCTTGCCTATGAGCAAGTACTGTGTGCTGCCTCTGTGTCCTGTCTGTCTTAAAGTAGTGGCCCTCAGAATTGCCGGTCTTGGGTCTCCATTGTAGTCTGAAAAATTAGTGATCCCAAAGAGCTTTCTTGTATGTAGGTTATGTCTACCGACCGATATAAACAAATTCATATGTTAACATAACCACCAATGTTTCTCATGAAAACGTTTCTTATGCAGAAAATATTAGTGAGAAAGTGGCATTTTTTTTTTTGACAGGCACAGTTAGACAGAGAGTGAGACAGAGAGAAAGGTCTTCCTTTCCGTTGGTTCACCCCCCAAGTGGCTGCTACGTCTGGCGCGCTGCACCGATCTGAAGCCAGGAGCCAGGTGCTTCTCCTGGTCTCCCATGTGGGAGCAGGGCCCAAGCACCTGGGCCATCCTCCACTGCACTCCTGGGCCTCAGCAGAGAGCTGGCCTGGAAGAGGAGCAATCGAGACAGAATCTGGCGCCCCGACCGGGACTAGAATCCCAGGATGCCGGCATCACAGGCGGAGGATTAGCCAAGTGAAAATACATTTTCCAAGTGGAAAATACATTTTTCATAAACTGTTTATATGTTAATGTGATTATTTTCAGATGAATTAAAATAAAGATTTCTCAGTTTTGAATTCTTTTTTTTGTTAAGGTTTTCTTTTTTTTCTTTAAAGATTTATTTATTTTATTTGAAAGGCAGAGTTACATAGAAAGAGGGAGAGGAAGAGACAGAGACTGAGAGGTCTTCCATCCTCTGGCCCACTCCCCAAATGGCTGCAAAGGCTGGAGTTAGGCTTATCTGAAACCAGGGGCCAGGAGCTTCTGGATCTTCCACGTGGGTGCAGGTGCCCAAGCATTTGGGCCATCCTTTGCTGTTTCCCAGGCCATTAACAGGGAGCTGGTTTGGGAGTGGAGCAGCCAGGACTCAAACCATCGCCCATTTGGGATGCCAGCACCACAGATTGGGGCTTAACCTACTACGCCACAGCGCCAGCCCCACACTGAATTTCTAATAGGTTAAGTGTTGACAGATAGAACCCACATACAAAAATTTCTTTAGGGTTTTTAATTTTTAAGACTGTAAAGATCCATGAGATTAAAGAATTTGAGAACTACTGCTCTAATGATTACTCCTGCATTAATGTGAACATTTGAGCTCTATTCAAGGGCATATCAAGAGTAGCTATGAGGCCGGCGCCGCGGCTCACTAGGCTAATCCTCCACCTAGCGGCACCGGCACACCAGGTTCTAGTCCCGGTCCGGGCACCGGATTCTTTCCCGGTTGCTCCTCTTCCAGGCCAGCTCTCTGCTGTGGCCCGGGAAGGCAGTGGAGGATGGCCCAAGTGCTTGGGCCCTGCACCCCATGGGAGACCAGGAGAAGCACCTGGCTCCTGCCATCGGATCAGCGCAGTGCACCGGCCGCAGCGTGCCGGCCATGCCGGCCATTAGAGGGTGAACCAACGGCAAAGGAAGACCTTTCTCTCTGTCTCTCTCTCTCTCACTGTCCACTCTGCCTGTCAGATCCAAAAAATTTCTATTATTCTATTCCAATCATACGGGGGGGAGCTATGAGTATTATGTCTTTATGTCTTGAATCTTCTTTCCAAATTTGATCTAATTTGTCTCCAGATCTCTGAATTAACGTGGGGTCAGACTGATTAACCATAAACACATGCTGTCTAACTTCTGTTGGATTCCTTCTTGTTGGTTGCCTGAAATAGTCTCTTTTATGGTTATTTTAGACTATCTAGAGGTAAAACAATATTCATTCTGTAATCAAGTAGCTGGTGGTAGTAGAATAGAAAATCATTAGTTCACACCCTACATAATTTATTCTATATTATAACAAAGCAGAGCAAAACAAAAGGTGCAATGGGTGTTTGACCTAGTGGGTAAGACACTGGTTGAGACGTCTGCGTTGCATATTGGAGTTCTTTGGTTCAAGTCCTGGCTCTACTCTTAATTCTAGCTTACTGCTAATGTGCACCCTGGGAGGCAGCTCAAGTGGTTGGTTCCCTGCCACCCATGTGGGAGACCCTGTTTCTGGCAAGTTTACAATCTAATTGTGTGGATTTCTTAAACACTTGAAACATTAGAAAATAATGTAATAACCATATTTGGTATGTTGTGTGGTACAAACTATAGAGAATGGCCTCTGGAATTCTAAGGAGAGAGAGGCCAGGGTGCATTGAAGAAAGAAGTTGGTATGGACATTGTGGTACGGTGGGTTAAGCCACCACTTAGGATAACTTCATCCTATGACCTGAGTGCTGTTTTGTGTCCTGGCTGCTTTGTTTCCAATATGGCTTCTTGCTAATGCAGCTTGGAAGACAGCAGAAGATGGCCCAAGTACTTAGGTTCCTGTAACCCATGTGAGAGAATAGGATGGAGTTCCTGGCTTCTGGCTTCAACCCAGCCCAGATCTAACTGTTGCAGCCATTTGGGGGAGTGAGCCAGTATATGGAAGATTCTCTCTCTCTCTCTGTCTCTCTCTCTGTTATTTCTTCTCCGTCACTCTGACTTTCAAATGAATCATTTATTTTTAAAGAGTAGAATCATGGAATTTTTAGGACAGTAGATTTTGTATATTGGCCTAAATAGGATTTGGAATGGAAGAGATAAAAAGCTATCCTGTAGGCCTACTAGCAGGAATGCCTATGAAACACAAATAAAAGTTTTTCGGTACCTTCAAGGTCTTGTCTGAGGCCTGCTGGGCCAGTGCAGAAAGGCATTCCAGACAAATCCTCCTTTTATTCTTCAAGGTTTGAATGTAGATATCTGAAGCAGAAATATTTCAGAAGACCAGAGCTGCTATTAACAGGGTAATGAAATAATTTATTGTCTGATTGTAATGGATACCTTTGAGGGGGAAAGCAGATGATATTAAAAATTATAGCAGGGGAACAGATGTAACTGGAACTGTCCTGGATTTATTGGGACATTTGTCACCCAAGCTATCAACAACAGACACATGCTATCTAACTTCTATTAGGTTCTTGCTTGTTGATTTCTTGGTATAGTCTTCATAGTGGCTAACACTAAAGTTTTTCACACTGTGGGTTACGGCTCATGTAGTGGGTCATGAAATCAATTTAGTAGGTGATACTCAGCCTTAAAAGAATGGAATTAGAAACAGCAGTATGTTACACATGTAAAGAGAAATACTATTTTGTTTAATTATATGTACTCATATATGCATATATATAATATCTATATATGAATATATATGGAGAGAGAGACACACACACACAGGACATCCATATCATGGTCTAAATTAGCTGTCTAATCATGCATGCAACTCAGTGAGAAGAAATTATACTTTACTGGAAATTGCTTATTATATATAGTCTAGTATCTTATAATCTACTTCTTGAACATATTGCCACATCATGTTGCAAGAGAGACTGTGAAATGGTTTTATTCCACTATAACAATTAGTTCAAAATTAAGCCTGATTAAAAGAAAAGGCAGGGGC